TCACTATCATAAGAAACGCTTCGATGCAAATCTGTAGATAGTGTTTAATTTTAAAAAATTGATGGATAATTGCAAAAGCAACATCAACTTCTATTAAAATAAAATACAAAACCCATAATTATCATACAAAAATAGTATATTTTTCAATATGGTAGCCATTTGCGTATAGAAGATAGATCGTCGGGACAAATTTTTTTTTTTCATTTTGTAGTACATAAAATAAGCTTTAATTTTATATATGTTTAAAGGACGCAGTATTTCCGGAACATTTTCAAAAATTAAGTTGAAAAAGTTATTTTTTGTAAAAAAGTTACTATTTTAAATCCTCCCAGTGAGCAGAATAAGTGTTAGATTTTCAAAAAAAATTATATCAAATGAAAGGGAAATATCTAAGGTTTCAATACAAAAAAATATTATTTTTATTTGTTCATTTTTGAAAAAGTTATGGCAGTTTTAAGTACAAAAAACATCCCGATAAAATGTAATTTTTATCGCAAACATTACATTTTTTTTTAAATTTTCGACAGCCATTTGCACATAGAAGATAAGATGTCGGGACAAATTTTTTTTTTTCATTTGATAGTATATAACATAACCTTTGATTTGATATATGTTTAAAGGACGCAGTATTTCCGGAACATTTTCAAAAGTTCAGTTGAAAAAGATCTATGTTTTTTACAATATTTTAAGTTTTGAACGCCCCCTATATAAGGGGAAATTGTCCAATTTTAATAAAAAGTATGTCAAATGAAAGATGTACTTATAATGTATTTAGAAAAAAAAAATTTGTGCTGATATATACATTTTTCAAAAAGTTATAGCATTTTTAAGTTGAAAATTTAAAATCGAAAATCGAAAATTTTAACACAAAAATAGTGTTTTTTTAACTACGGCAGCCGTTTAAATGTAGAAAAAAAAGTGTCGGGACAAATTTTTTTTTTTCATTTTGTAGTACATAAAATAAGCTTTAATTTGATATATGTTTAAAGGACGCAGTCTTTCCGGAACATTTTCAAAAATTAAGTTGAAAAAATTAATTTTTGTAAAAAAGTTGCCATTTTAAATCCCCCCCAATGAGCAGGTTAAGTGATAGATTTTCAAAAAAATGATATCAAATGAAAGGTAAATATCTAAGGTTTTAGTATAAAAAAAAATTATGTTGATTTGTTGATTTTTCAAAAAGTTATGGAAGTTTTAAGAAAAAAAAGTGAAAAAATTTCGAAAATTAGCGATTTTTAAATTTGTAATTTTTTTGGATATTTCCCCCATTTGCGGGGAACGAGGGAATTTTTTTCAATTTTTAAGGGTAATGTCTTCAACTAGATACGATTTGTGATCTTTTGACGTATTTTCGAAAGAAATCGGTCCAGTGAGAGCTGAGAAAAAGTGGCAACAGACATAAAAAAAAAAAAACACATCATAGTAAAATTAATACCTTCTCCGCTTCGCATCGAAACTAAAACAAACGAAAAATACTATATTAATACAATAATTGTATTAATATAGTATTTTTATCAATTATTTATAAATGTTGATAAGTTATTCTAAAAATATCATCAGCCAACAAAAATCAAAAGATTGATTTCCCAATGTATGTTTTTATTTTGTGTTTAATTGAGAGGCTTGTGATAAAACGATAACATTTATAAGGGAAAGTGGTCAGATTATTAAATAAAAGTATGTCGAATGAAAAGGAAATGTATAGAATCTTTATAAAAAAATTATATTGATCCAAACATTTTTTAAAAAGTTAAAAGTATAAAATATAAAATTAAGAATTTTAACATAGTAACAGCATGTACTTAAATACGGAAGCCGTTTTCTTATAAAGACCTGAAGTAAAATTTATTTTTTCCAGATAATGTTACATAAGTTTTGATTTAAGATATAAACAGAATGATATTTTAAGAATGACTGTTTTCTTTTTGCTCAGGTAAATTATCACCGACAATATCTTCTATAAGAGGAACGGTGTGACCGAGTCGGTAACGCGGAAGTGTTTGACGCGCACTGTTTCGGGTTCGAAACTCGGTTACGTGCAGCTTCATTTACCGAACTGATCTCTCATTCGGTAATTGGAGTCGCCACCCCTCTCTCCGCGCAACGGACTAACCACCCGCCCCGAGTATAAATGGTTAAGNCGCAACGGACTAACCACCCGCCCCGAGTATAAATGGTTAAGAAAACCTGCTCCTTCGGGGAAGGCCGCCATGGCCCTTATTGGGGTGATATAGTGATGAAAAAAAAAATCTCTTCTATTACATGTTCATAATACTCGTTAACTAACCACTCCGGGGCATACCGCCGTGATATGGTCTACTCTTTTTAAATATAAACACATGCGGATATCGGGTACATCGGCAAACCCGGGAAGTTCTATGTCAATTACTTTTCCGGAGCTTAGTACTTTACGTGGTATAATTATGTTGATTAATATAACGGCAATGGTTCTCGATATTGTCTCTATTGTTCACAAATATTTTCAGGTAAATTATCGTCCCATCCAGCCTTTATATGTCTCAAACTTTGCACCAACAACTTGGCTTTTACAATAACATGTCCTACTAAACCGAGGAAATCAAATATCGTTGCAATATGAGCCATAATCGCGCGTTTTGTCATCGACACATAACTATCTACCTGTCGTATAGTATACAATGACACTGTTGGATATGCAGTTACCAGAGGCCGTTTCGTTACATCTTTTTGTTATAACTGATAACGCTCTTCGCACTACCACCACGACAGATTAATCACGTTCAATGAGTACTTACGTGATCGTTGCACGTCGTCAAGGTATTGTCGGTGCTTTTTGTGAATTTTGCGTTCTCGCCATCATAACAAGTGCCTCCGTTTGTATGCGCGACACATATTTTATTGTTTTGTTTTGCACATCATGTTGTGCCTTGGCTCCCTCGAGCTTTCGCACCTGTGCACGCCTTTAGTGTTCGGCCCTGTCCATATCCGAAGTATTTACTTATTAAGCGACAACCCTTGTGGTCTTCGACATTTTAACGCTAAGTATACACACTGTCTACTTGTCACCGCCATCATTTATCGTTCATCTATTGTACGTTACACAATTAAGTATTTAGTAGTTTGTAATAATTATATTGTATTTTATCTATTTTTTTCATAGCTGCCTTGTCAGAAATTTTAGTATTAAGTGACCCCCCTCAATCCACAATTGTACGATATTTATTATTATTTTAATATAGATGCCTTGTTTTGTAATTTTTATCATTTCTTCTAGTGTAAGGACCATCCTTTATCTCATATATACTCTATATTTCTTTCTCCGGCATAATCATAGGTAACAAAACCGAACGTTAACTAACTCGCACAGTAATGCTGGGCGTTCCGTACAAACAGACACATGATCCGAACACCGCCAATGCAAACCTAATATTTTTGTTGCGCTATTATCTATCGCACAACACATCGCTCGTATTAGTTGAATATAAATCCACAATTAAAGATGGCTAATTGGACGACCATCTTATCAATTCCAGTCCAGCACTACGCCTAACGTCCATAATACCTGTTCGCAACTTGAGCGCCTCTTCTTTACCTTGCGCTCCTGATAAATAATCTTCCATATAAGATTAGCGTCGCTATAGACGCACACGCTTCTGGATATTTATCATATTCCATTCCGCTAATTTTTGTAGAAAAGCTACCGCGAAGTAGAACGCCGGAACGGTACCGAAGTACTAAAGTATTTAGACGGAAAACTTTAATAGGCTCAGTGGGCTCATGTCATCACCATATTGTATTAATAGGCCCTATACATAAAAACACTATTTTTTCTCTTCTCTTTCATCTCTCAACACGCACTACTAATGTCCACATATAAATCACAACTATATGTGCAATAACGCCATAGTATATATAATATATTCTGTTGTAACACTGGCTCCTTTTTCGACACGTCATTTGGGCTCACGTCCGTTTATGTTTTACACGAGGCATCGAATATTACACGTATTTGGTAGTTGTAATGTTTTGATAACGCACCACGTGCGAGCCTAGTAGAAACCTTTCGTTGTCCTTTTACCCTGCGTTCACATATATCAGACCTACTTTTATAGGTAAACATAACATAACCCGAGATCCATTCACTTTAATGTTATAATTATCAGTCACCCAACTTACCACTATGTCGACTAGACCGATAGACCGCCAACAGGCCGCTACCACCTACCACCATTTATAAAACTATACCCCACTTTACTTTTTGTTTATTACAGTCCTCACTAGTATAGTATTGGCTGGCATCCTGTCTAAACACTGTCCTAGTATTAGTGATCAGTACTTAACTGTCATTGCTAACAGCTATACAGAAAATCTTCATCATCTTAGATATTTGCCAATATTAGTCCAGTACTAGTAAAGCGAAAGTTAGTAAGTACTACTAAGCGAAAATACTCCATTTTGAGAACTAATCTATTGGTAATATATTTAAGTGATATGACAATAAATAATTCATAAACAAAATAATGTGTTGGGACCAGTACATTAATCGATTTTAACGTTGAATAGGTTTAAAATAGAGTTGTATTGGAGAAACAGTTACACGTGAATTAATATAGTAATAAAAGTCGATTAATTTTAAGTGTGTACAAGGACTGCATACATATTGATAATATCTCTAACATCAACTACAAGAGTCATATATATATATATATATATATATATTGTCATATATAAAACATAACGTCAATAAACTATATTGTCAATTAGATCTGTTACACTCTGTATATACGAGTTTTTATTTTAAAATAATAAATTGCACAATCTTTAATTAATATTCATTTTAATTTAAAAATATATGGTCAATAAACTATATAGCTATAATATGTTAAAATTATTTCATATCTAGATGATTAACATTTTTGTGTTACATTGATAGAAAAATGAATGATCTAAAGTTATTCAATTTTTTATAAATATATTCCATGTAATGATAACATATCATAGTAATGATAACGCGGTCGGTATAATGTAATATAATGTTTAATGTTCAAGTTAAGACAATGTATAATTTATAAAAGTTTATAAATTATAATTTATAATTTATAAATGATTTTAAATAAAGTATTCAATCATACATAAATAGTAATTGTATTATTTAAGACCACTTCCATACTCTGTTTTAATTAATTGCAAAATTATCTCCAGTTTTTCAATTATATTATCTAGTGCAGTTGGTATGTTCTCAAAATAGTATGAAGCTGCGTAATTTTCGTGATGCTTGGGAAATCCCACAAATAATTTTTCTAATGTACTTTTGGGTAATATGTGTGTATTATTCTTTGAATGTCTGGCATTTTCAAAATAGTTTTCGTCAAACTCTTTAGATCCTAAAATACTTATTGTGAAAAGTTTCACCAAATGAGCCAAATCTAACAATTTATTATTACTATATTTATCTAAACTAATTAGAGTTAATTTATGTTCTATATCTATAAAAGAAATACTTTTTCTGGTATATTTTTTTAAATCATTCTCAGCTTTTGCCAATATTGTTAAAAGTTTTATTACTGTTTCCCAATTTTCTTTTCGTACATCACTAACTTTTCGAGCATCATTTGTATATGGTCCAGAAATAAAACTAAATGTTTGATAAGCATATACGACTAATAAACACGCATACCTAGCAGTTCGAGAAATCATGATATCTATTGCCATATTTAGAGTTTGTTCAACAGTTTTTTTGTATGTTGTTGAATTATTAATGAAATGTTCAAGTGTTAAATAAGGACAATATCTACGTTCATCTGATACAAGATCCTCTTTAACGTATTTCCATAAAAACAAATTTTGAACCTTAGAAAGTTGTGTTTTGGTTTGTTCATCATAAACCGTATCATTCACTAAATTTCCATTTGTTGAATTATGAATACAATTTTCAAGCGTTTCATTAGGACATGAAGGATATACAACTATAACAACATTATATTTGGTGAATTCCCATAAAGATAAATTTTGGACATTAGAAAGTAGATCTTTAATTTCATTATTATAAACCGTATCATTCACTAAATCTCTATTAATAGGAACATTACTCTCCTGTAAAAAATTAATTTATAAATTATATAATATTGTACTAGAATTGTCTTTCTATATTAATAATATATAATAATTTCACGACATATCAGATTAAATGTGTTTAAAAACTTAAATAATTTGATTTATCTGGTTTGTATAAAACAAAATGTAATTAGATCTGTTTATTACATATGCCACTTACAGTTGGATCGGAGTAACTTGAGTGCTGAATAGATATATTAGTATGGTCAAGACATATCAATGCAGTTAAATAATAATCTGTCCGTAGCAGTAAAAGTATTATAAATGGTAAATCAAATTTTATTATATTGTAATATTTATAAACTTTAATTACAAATATATTATATAAAAATTTCAACTTTTCTTAGTTAGAAGTTTTGTGAAAATCAATTTTTAAGGACCAAAAAGAAAGTTAATCGAGACATTTTGAACTTAAATTTTGCACGGATTGATTATGATTAAATATGATAACATTGTTATGTTATAAAATGAAAATTAATAAAAAAAAAAATGTACGCATTAAATTAATATTTTTATATGTAAATAACCTTTTTTTACTAATTAGTAAATGTGTCAAAATTTAGAGGCTATAGAAAAAATAAAATTACGTAATTGAAATGCACCCGAAAATTTGGTTTTTCCTGCTTAATTAATAAAAAATGAATGCTATATTTCTATTATTTGTGTAGATATTAAATTTAAATAAAACGTACTTTAAAATAAACTATTTTTATTACAAACAATTGTGAATTGTTTTAATTTGGTGACTATCTTCTCATATAGTATCTTCTATACCTTATTAAAATTTTATTAGGATACGCGTTCTTAAAAAAAAGTAGCAATAGTTTTTAAATACAGAAATTCTTTTTTGAAAATGTCGTTTTTTAATTTATTAATTTTAACTGTATTATTACGGCAATTGTAAATCTCATTTGTCGGCATTTAAAAGGGGCAATTTAAATTTCAGTAACTATTTTTCTATTTAAGTGAACTAAAAATTCAAAAGAAGTTTAACTTTATATTCAATATTAGATATATTCAAAGAAACTTTTGTGAAAATCAGTGACCTTTTTACCGTGTCTACCCTAATAGAGTAGTTTATCGTAAGAAAAAAATCGCTTAGTTATACATTTTTTAAAAAGTAATGACAATATAAAATTGAAATTGTAAAAAGAAATGTGTACAAAGAAAGTTTCAAATAAAACTTTTTCTGGGGAGGGATTGTGGTCTCAAATCCATTTTTCATGACATTAAAAACCGTGCAAAATTTAAGAAATATATATTAGTTTTACATTTATATTTAATTTTCATGTCCTTTTTCACCACAAAGACTAACTCTGAGACATTTATTTTTCGATAAAAAGGTATCAGAATTTAAAAAGTCAGAAAAGAGATTAGATTATCAAAATAAGTATGTTGGATAAAAAGGATAAGTCTTTACAAAAAAAAAATTTATTAATTCAAACATTTTTCAAAAAGTTAAATGTATAAAATTAATAATTAACACACACGTTTCATATTTTTGAATACGTTAGCCATATTTACTACGAAAACAAGTGCTGAAGTCAAATTTTTTATTTCAAAATAAAGTATATTATATTAGCCTTAATTTAAGATACATATAAAGTTTATTATTATTTATTAGTATATCCCGAACATTTTCAAAAGTTAAGTTAAATAAGATATTTTTTTGTGCAAAATTTGCCATTTTGAATCCACACTTGTGGATATAATTTTATAACGTACAAATAAAGTTATTTTAAGTGATAATATTCAAAAGCATTTTATTGAAAAAAAAACCTTTTATATTGAGCAATAAGTTCATTCTTATGCATTCCGTGATCAGTCCCGCATTTACTTTAAAATTAATTTTATTCGCAAAAGATTTAATTACAAAATCAAGTACACTCCGTGGTTAAAGTGAGGGTAGTCGGGGGGATGAAGTTCCCGTCTTAATTGGAGTACAATTTAGCGTCCCCTTTAAGTCGAATCCCGAAATGCCGTGGAGACGCTTCAATTTTGAGCACTGAAGAGTAGAAACCGTATTAGGTAGTTATTAATCTATTTCTTTATCGGGATAATTTTTTTAAAATAAGTAAGTATATTTGTTTATTATGATCAATATCATTTTTAGCCTTTAGGGGACAATTCGGTGTGGCTCGGAAACGCTCCTCACTTTTTAGGAACTATAGTTCGCCCTCATAATTTTTCCAACTTTAACTACTTAGTTCACATAAATATTTTAATCATAATGATAAACTTACATAGATTTTAACAACTTTGAAATAAATGTTTTTGTTTAAATCATTAAGAAATGTCTGCAATACATTATAACCATTTGCTGTAAATAAATGATTTCATAATTTGATAATTGTTTCAAAAATATTACAATCATGATATTTACCATTGTATGAGAACTTTTTTTTTTCTTTTTTTTGGTAACTTAAAATAATGTTTTCTTTTCCAAAAGTCTTAAAAATACAAAAGACATTGATTAAATATTATATTTTATAAATTTGGAAAGGTCAAAGAAAAATTGAATTTTTTTTTTTTTGAAAATACAACGGTCAATCAACTGAAATTTTAGAAAACAAAAAAACAATTTTAATTTTTAAATATTTGT